AGCATGTGGAGGGGCATTAAGTGCATAACAGATTATAAAGGAAGGAGCGAACAATGCTCCAAAGACCCATCTCTGCCTGATGCCCTCAACAAGTTCTATGCACACTTTGAAGACCCGAACAGACCACCCAGCACCAGACTCACCTCACCACCGGATGAAGAGCATCTCACCGTGACCTCAGCCGAAGTAAGGAGTACCTTCAGGAGGATTAATTCGCACAAAGCAACTGGCCCAGACAACATCCCCCGAAAAGTGTTAAAGGAATGTGCTGATCAGCTCTGCGAGGTGCTGGCAGACATCTTTAACACCTCACTTACCCTGGAGACAGTTCCCACCAGCCTGAAGACTGCCACCATCATCCCAGTCCCAAAAAGCTCTACAGTGACTGGTCTGAATGACTATCGGCCAGTGGCCCTCACCCCGATCGTTGCTAAATGCTTCGAAAAACTGGTCATGACTCACATCAAAACAACCACCAATATCAACGAAGACCCTCATCAGTACGCATACCGTGAGAACCTATCAATAGAGGATGCCATCTCCTCTGCGGTCCACACTGCGCTCAACCACCTGGAGCAGAAAAACTCTTACGTCCTTATGCTCTTTGTGGACTTCACATCCGCCTTCAACACCATGATCTCCCAAACCCTGATGGACAAACTATTCACACTAGGACTAAGCCCCTCCATTTGCAACTGGGTACTAGACTTCTTCACAAACAGACCACAGTTAGTGAGGATCCACAACTTCTCCTCCACCATAACCCTCAGCACTGGCTCTCCTCAGGAATGTGTGTTGAGCCCTTTCCTGTTTACACTGCTCACTTATGATTGTGCAGCTACCCATCCAGGCTGTCACATTGTAAAGTTTGCAGATGATACAGCGGTGGTGGGATGCATCACAAACAATGATGAGTCCAGCTACAGGCAAGAGGAGGAACACCTGGAGAGCTGGTGCAAAGAGAATAACCTCCACATCAATGTGAAGAAGACAAAGGAGATGATTGTGGACTTCAGATGGAACAAACACACCTACACCGCCCTGAACATAAGAGGATCTGCAGTGGAAGTGGTCTCCAGCTACAAGTACTTGGGTGTACACATGAATGACAACCTCAGCTGGAGCAACAACACCACTAGCCTGATCAAGAAAACTCATCAGAGACTGTACTTCCTCAGATGGCTGAGGCGAGCTGGTCTGGGAAGCTCAGTCCTCACCTCCTTCTACAAGTGTACAGTGGAGAGCATCCTGTGCTCCTGCATCAACGTGTGGCATGGAGGCTGCACAGCTGCAGAAAGAAAAGCTTTGCAGAGAGTGGTGAAGGCTGCACAAAAGTCTGTTGGAGTCAGTTTCCCCACCATAACAGACATCTACACCTCCAGATGTAGGAAGAGGGCCACCTGCATCATGAAGGACCTCACTCACCCAGCACACACACTTTTTGCCCCACTCCCCTCAGGACGGAGGTTGAGGAGCATTAAGTGTAGAACCACTAGACTGAGGAACAGCTTCTACCCTGAGGCTGTTAGACTCATGAATCTCTAACTAGAATAATCACTGTGAAAAACCACATCATGTTGCTGCTGATCTGTTTCATGTTGCTGCTGATCTGCTTAAATGATGATGTGTTCATGCATACTCGTCTGCTCACCCAGACTCATGCTCATGTTTGTGCTGATGTTCAACGTTTTTATGTTATGAGTGCTTAGTGTATATTTAGTTGATGTTTTTCTTAGTTCATATCTTAGATGTTATTACTGTTTTTCTTATACATTTTATTGTTGGATGTAACTGGGACCCTGTGTACATAATTTCGCTCCACCACATGTACCACATGAGGTGCGAATGACAATAAAGAATCTCTGGCTCTCTGACTCTGA